GCATGGTGATAGTTAATAATATTGTATTATATAGTTGACAGTTCCTAAGAGAGCAAATCTTAAATATTCTCACCAGAAAAAAAAAGATGGTAATTATGTGATGTGATGGAGATGGTAGTTAGTGCTATGGTGGTAATCATTTTGCAATTTTGTAATATTTCAAATCAACACTTTATAGCCCCTTAAACTAACACAATGTTATATGTCAATTTTATCTCAATAAAGCTGCAAAGAATACTTTTGGGATTATTTTAAAATTCATATCAGATAACTCTGATATCTGGATCATTTGTAGGTTTGTTTCTATTGTTTGATTTTTCTCTTGATTCTATCTTTGGTATGCTTGTTAATATTTGTTTGAATATTGGAAATTGTAAATGAAACATGGTAGTGGCTTTAGATGATACTATTTTCCTTTAGAAGATATTTACTCTATCCTCCAGCAATGATATAAAATAAGAATAGGTCTCTGATTTTGTCAGAGGCTGAGCTCCATGCTTTGTAAGGATTGGTCTGCCTCTGGTGTACTAGGCTATCACCAACCAATACCTTGGACTATTTATTAAAACTTGTCCTCCTATGTGGGTCTCCAACTCCAATTTTTATTTCCCTAGCAGACAAATCTCTGATAAATTGCATTTCAGATCTTTTCTGTTTGATTTCTTTGTCTTTGGGCCTGTGCTGGTTAAGAACAGGAATGCTCCTGGGAGGATGTGGACAAACAGATGCAATGCATTTGTTTGCCTTTTCTGCACCTCTGTACTTTCAGGGATCTGGACCTCCCACATTCTATCTTGGCAAAGTAGAACTCCATGTTTTGTCTCTTCAGCCCATGATATTGCTAAAAGCTCTGTTGGCTTGAATTTCCCTGATGGCTAATGATGATGAACATTTTTACGTGTCTGTGAACCATTTGTATGTCTTCTTTTGAGAAGTGTCTGTACATGTCTTCTGCCCATTTACTGACTTGATTTTTTGTTTTTTTGGGTGTTGAGTTTGAGAAGTTTTTTATAGATCTTGGATATCAGCCCTTTGTAGTGTCATTTGCAAAAATCTTCTCCCATTCCGTGGGTTGCCTCTTTGTTTTGTTGACTGTTTCCTTTGCTGTGCTGTATGGTGACTAACATAACATAATAAAATAAAATTAAAAAAAATAAAAAGCTCCGTTGGCTTCTCCACACTTTGCAGGCATTTGCAGGACAGCCCCCGAAGCCTCTCAGCCTGTGCTGCTGAAGCCCAGCAGTGCCAAGGGGAAGCTCATTGCAGGACAAGGGCTCACCACAGAGAGCTCTACTTCCCCCTGGGGTCTTGGATGCATTAGGGACCTGGTGCCTTAAACAGACTTTTTGTTTTGTTTTGCTCTTTTGATGTATTTTATTTTTAGCTGCTCTTGATGATAGTGTTGGTGTGCTGTAAGCTGCTCTGTCATAGCTGGAAGCATAAAGTCCTCCAGAGCTTATATTTTGACCAAGATTTACCTGACTCAAAATTCCTTAATCTTTCTACTCTAGCAGAACTCAATATCTACTTTTCATGCAAATATGCCCTCAAATAATAAAAAAAAATCTGTTGATAAGAGATATACACATACAGACACACAAACTCATAAATTATACCCAGGATTTTCTATTTTCAATGCATGCATCAGAAAATAGTTGCTCTGGATACTTTTGAAAGTAATGGTTTAAATCCCAATTTAAATATAAATAGGAAAACAATATCACCGCAATGAAAGCCTGGCTTTTCCCCTGTCCTAGGTGGCAACCAGCTTTCATAGACACAGAATCACAGTTTCCTGGAGGTCCATTACTACTGCCTGGGGCTCTGGCTTAGTCATTCAGAACGTTTATGAGGACGCCCTCACCATTTGGCTGTAGCTATGTCTTAATGCTTTCTCCAAAAGCCTTACTCTATGGACCCTTTCTCAGCTTTGTGAGCAAGGAGGGTCTGTGGAGCTGATGGAGGGGACATCTTAGCTCCTAGCATGTGGAGCCACATATACCTGGGCACAGCTCCCCTTCACCTCTCTGGATCCTTGTCCTCTCCCTAGGACTCAGACCTGCCACTGGCAAAGCCCTCCACTACTTCCCCCTAGCCCTCCCTGCTCACCTGTTTTAGCTCCCTTTGGGCCTAGGTGCCTCTGTGGGCCCCACCTCTCATGGCCCTCTTACCTGGACCTCTCCTTTCAACCATATCACATTTCTTGGAGTTGTCTGAACTTATCAAAGCCTCTCATACCTCTGCTCCTCTGCAACACCGAATTCTCAGTGAAAGTACTTTTCCTTCCCTTCCCACCTTCCATGGCTTCTCATAATTGAAGACACCACCTTAGGGGGGGCCTTCCTGGATCCCCCTGGCTGGGGGCTGGAGATGCCTATGGCTGGGGACCCACAGCTACTCTCAGCTGTCGGGCTGCCTGTCCTGGTTGCCATTTATGGTCTATATACATCTTGCCTCGGTCTCTTGCAGTCCCCCCACTCCCGCCAAAGGAGCGGCCCTTACGGTGGGGTGGTGCTACTGGAGTCAGGTCACTTCCAGCCTGGGCGCTAGCTCTGGAAGAGGGGCACCAGCAAGGCCTATGGAGACAAGACAGCTTGTTTCAGGAGCTGGGCTGTGGGTCCTGGCAGGATTTCAATAGACTGGGAGTGAGAGAAAGGGATGAGGGCATTACATTTTGACCCAAAACATGAGCAAATGTAGGATGGCAAATATGAATCCAGTGGGCTCCATGGTCAGGACACACCAACCAGGCTGAAGCATGACATCCTCCCTGCATGCTCAGATGGGGGAACAGATGTAGAAGGGGGACCCCAGAACCTTAGCATCAGAGACAGGACTCGAGTCCAGGTTCTGGGTCGTTGTCCTTAGCTCTGGTCCCAGACCTGCTTCCTTTCAGCACCCAGGAGTTGACCTGCTGGCGAGGGCTCTGGGCCTGGCAGTGGCTTCAAAGTTGCCAGATAGGTCCCATTTAATCTCAGAGTAGAGCCTGAGCCAAGGACAAGAGGCTGGGAGCACCAGTGAGGAAGGGCACAAGGTTGAGGGGAAAGGGCAGAGCTGTGCCTGGAGGACTCAGAGGTTCCATTTAATCTGGCAGCCTTGGGGCAGACAAGGAAAGGGACATGGGGATGGAGGAGAAGGAGGCAAAGCCCCTTCCTTCTGCGCCCCTCTGCCCCACTACCACAGGCAGAGTCAGGGAAACATCATTGCTAGCAGCACCCGATCCACTGGGGACCTGGGTGTTCCCAGGGTGGGTATCTTGGCCAAGATGTAGGGGAGGTTTGATGTTAATGTGACTTGGAGCCTGTTTTCTGAAGCTTGTTCTTCTGCTAGTCCCTGAGCCATGAGCTGGTCTCTTACTGCCTCTGTTCAATACCAGACACAAGGACCCAGGTCATCTCTGCCTTCATTTCTGGTGCTGAAATTAGATGAGGTTGGACTGAGCCTGTGGAGTTACCACTGCTGGGACCAGAGCTGTAGGAGAGGGGGTGTTTCAGGAGGGGAAGGGTGGTGGGCCAGCAGAGGGAGGGTGAGAAGAGGGAACAAGCCCCTTTAGGGCCTTATGGAGAGGATCTCAGTGCCAGCTGCGTCTGTCCAGGCCCCTCAGGAAGCAGATGCTACAGTCCATCAGAATAGTAGGAAGATATTTTAATGAAAGGTATTTACAAGGCATGGGCATAGGGAAACCACAAGACAGAGTGTGGTGTCTTGGGCCACAGAACTGCTACCACCCCAGGTCAGAGGGTGTCAAGGAAGGGACAGTTACTGGAACTCAGAGATGAGGGAGCCTCCTGACAGCAACTGCGATCTCGATTCAGACCAGTGGACTGCCCGGTTCCTGCTGAGAGAAGCAGGGCATTTCCACCCTGACCTTCTGCATGCCCTTACCTCTGTCTATCTGAACTCCTACTGGCTGAACCTAACCAGGAGCAGAGAGCAGGAGGGCCATGTTGATTGCCTGTATATGTCAGCGAGTGCAGTGGCCCATGGTGGGGAGTGGGTCTGCAGAAGGACAAGGATAGCTATAGGTGGAGGGCACCTTGTGGAGATTTGCTGTCACTGTGTCCTGGGCCCCTGGCCCTGGGTGTGTACTCACATTAAGGGGGGATGGAGCTTCCCGAGCTCCAGCCTTGATCCCACTCTGCTCTGGATGTCACACCCTGGGAGCCAGAGTTAGGGCTTCTAGCTTTGCCAGCCCCAGCTTTCCCTCCTTGGGAGACCTACATTCTGTCAGGGGTCTCCATTCCCAGCTCATTTTCTGCTTCCCTCCTCCTCTTCTTGTGGCAGAAAATGTACCATCTGGGCCAGGAAACAGGGTGGAGATGGGTCAGTCAAGGAGTAGGTTTGTCTTCTCTGGGGATGCTAGGGCTTGAGAGTCACTCACCCACTTCCAGCTATGGCGGCCAGAAGCAGAATAATGCCAAGGCTCACAACGCACGTGAAGGTACTCCGGGTCCTGGCTGGGGGGTGTAAAAAGGGGAGCCAGGTGTTTGGGGGGCAATGAAGGCCATCTGGGCCCAAAGAAGCTACATTCTTTCCTCCTTTTATTTGTCCACTCACTCATTTGTTTGCAAACACTTACTGAGCACCTACCGTGTACCTGGCATATTATTTAGAGATAAGTGAGACATGGTCTCTCTTCTCTATGAGGTAGAGAAACAAACAATTATGGTGTGGTGTCCAAGGGAAGCAGAGGAGGACAGAGCAGAAGAAAAGTAGCCACAAGGAAGGCCGATGAGCCTCAGGGGGTGGGAGCTTGTCAGGGAAACCTTAGGAAATAGGATTTCTGGATGGACTTTGAAAAACAAGTAGGAGTTCAGTTTTGGTCCCATGGTTAAGTACAAAACTGTGCTCCAGGCAGAGAACACAGAATGTTCAAGGACAGAAGCATGAAGTCATCTGTATGTACAGCATGTCAGCAGCTCAGTGTGGCTGGGGAGGAGTCAGGGGTGCTGGGAGGTGAGCAGGGGCTATTCACACAAGGGCTTCTGAAGAGGTGGACTTTATCTGGGGGGCAATTGGGCTACAACAGGGAGTGTCATAGGGGGATTTGCTCCTTGAGAAAGTTCTTTGGTTGTTGAGTAAGATGTGGTCAAGAGGGGCAGGGAGGCCAGTTGAGAGATGCTGGCATAATCCAGGTGAGAAGTGAGGATGCCTGAAGAATGATGGTGGATATGGCAATGAAAATATGGCAACACATTTAAGAATTAATTAACAAGATTTGGTGATTGCATGTATTGAATATGGGGGAGGAAAGTTCTTGGTTTGGTTTAGGGCTTGTGTGGGGCCATTTGCTGAGAGGGGCCATGAGGGAAGAGCACATTGGGGGTGGAGGGAGTTGGGTTTGAATATGTTTCCAAGCATGCTCGCTTTGAGGACCCAAGGGACCTCCAGGGGAGTTGTCCTAGAGGCAGGTGGCTTTATGGCTCTGAAGTTGGACATGAGACACCAAGAAATCCCAGGAGTTGTTATGTTCTCTGGTGAGGATGGGGAGCAAGAAGAGCTTGGGGCTGGGCAGAGGAGGAAGACAGTCCAGACAGAGACAACAATGACCCAGGTTGGAGTGGGGGCAGGTTGGAGGCAGGATGGCTGGCGGCCACTGACCTGGGCAGAGAGTCGGGTCTTTGCAGGTAAGAAGGTGTGTCTTGCAGTTGGCACAATTGATGACCTCCAGTGTGGAGTGTATGTCTGTGAGAGGGGATGGGCAGGAGCCTTAGCCAAGGCCATGTGCCTCTCACCTCTCATCCCTCCCCCTGCCCCCCCTCAAGTCCCCATACATACTCACCGCAGGACTTATTGCAGGCTGCCCAGGAGGGTGAGATGGTAGAGAAACTGAGGTGCTAGGGGAGGCAGACAGAGCCAGGAAGGGTTGGGGTATCATCAAGAAAGGGAACTGAGAGAAGATGTGGACAGGCACCCAGTATGTGGGCAAGGGTGGGGATTCCTGGGGAGGGACATGGGAGGGGCTGCAGACTGGGCTTTGCTCTTCTCAGTCCTGGGGGAGGAGAAGGGCTGGGTGGTGGGCAGGGGCCAGCTCCACCTCTCACCCTTCTCCTTCAGCTTCTCAGACATCTGATTCAGCCTGTCAGTAAACACCTGTTTCTGGACATTAATCTCTTCCAGAAGTGATGGTTTATCTGAATGCAGGAGGAAGAGAAGGGTGCCCTCATCATCCACATTTTATAGGTGGAAACAATTACATAACTCAAGATTGAGAATTCAAGCCAGTTTTTTTAAACAGAAACTGCGTAGAGCACACAGATGCTGGGTGTGTCACCACTCTTCACCACACATCCCCACCCCAGGCCAGCAGGCCCTCTAGGAGTGCCTTGGGGGGGTGGGTTTTGTCAACACAAGCCTGGGGACTTCCTCACCATCTCGAAACTTCTTGATGGCTTCATCTACGTGATTGAATAATTTGGCTGTTGCTTCCTCCATATGGTCATGATCTGAGAATGGGATGTGGGATGAAGGGCAGTTGGTGGGTATAAGATCCCAGGCCAGGTAAAAGGGGCCAGCCTTGATCCCTGGGGTCTAGGCTGTGCCTCACCAAGATACCGAGGTTCTAAGAAGATATAATCCCTTTTCAAGAATAAGGAGTGGAGGCTTTGGGAGAGCTCTCTGGGTGGCCCTGGAGAGCCCCAAAGAATCTGCAGGTCATAGTCTATCAGTGCAGGCAGTTGTGGCCAGCAGTGGAGGCAGCTCTTCCCATTGATGGCAGGCAAGAGACAGCCAACCAGGAGAAGCAGCATCTTCTGAGGTCTGCCCTCTGTGCTCTTACCACCCTGCCTAGCAGTTCCACATGGAATGATGGTACTCCTTCCCCCTGGAAACCACATTCTCTTTGTAGAATGAAAGTAAATTCCATAGGGTACAGTGAGGGCCAGTTATGGTACAAAACTAGGCTTTGGTGTCAGACCCAAGTCAAGGTCTCAATATCTTTCTCTAAAGATGGGGTCACTGATGTTCTTGGGGAGGATTCTTGTGAGGATCAGAGAAATGGCTTGTGCAGTCTTGTGGCTGATGGTCAGCTCTCCTAATGGTATTTACCATGTATGAAATAGTTCAACAGGCTGAAATTTGAGAGGTCAGGAGGGAGCAGCACAGAGAGAGGTTTAGTTATGTAAAGAACCTGAATCACTTTTCCGTATAGAGATGGTCAGCCAAGGCGAAGCTTATGGAACATACATCTTTTTCATGTCACATATAAACTAGCAGCTGTCTTGTGCCTGTCCAAACCAGAGGAACTTAGACAGCTATTCCTACCACAGTGTAGACAGACTGTACACAGAGTTCCAGCCTGTAATTGGATGTACAGAGAGAGAAGTAATCTTTGGGCCAGTAGTTCTTATGTGCAAGGTGCATTGAAGAAAAACAAAGCTCCTTACTCTTGAGTAAAGACAAAGCCAGTGGGATATTTGTCGCTGCTTAGCTGGTAAGCTTTGCATTTCCATGCCATGCTTACAATCAGCTTCTGAGTGTCTGAGGCTGGATTATGAGCAGCTGAAAGCCACCAGGCATTTGAAGAATGCTTCTTACATGAACAAGAGAAAAAAACAATAGCAAGAAATCAAAACAAAAGCAAACAAAAACCATAGGAAAAAGAAAGGGTACAAAGATAGAATAGGAAGCAAAAGAAAACTTAGAACCCCACTATTTAAATAAAGTATTTCTTCTCCAGACAAGAAGAGGCTGCTCTGTAAAGGAAAAATAGAATAACAAATAGTTATTTGAGAAAAATAACTATTATCATATAAAAATATGATAGCAGGAATTAAAAAAAATTCCATACAAGTGTTAGGAGATAAGTTTCAGAAATCTCCCAGACAGAAGTACGGAAAGACAGACACAAGAAATAGGGAAGAAATAATCAATCCATGAAATCCAATATCCAGCTAATACAAGTTTCAGAAATAAAGAACAGAGAAAATTGAGGGAAAAATTCTTTATGATAGAAATTGGGTAAGAAGTATATGCAGATAGGAATTTTATCTTATAGGGAGAGGAATTTGGAGGACAGGCATCAAGATTTGCCAGAAGAGGGGCACCTGGGTGGCTCAGTTGGTTAAGCGGCTGTCTTTGGCTCAGGTCATGATCCCAGGGTCCTGGGATTGAGCCTCACATCAGGCTCCTTGCTCAGAGGGGAGCCTGCTTCTCCCCTGCCTGCCATTCCCCCTGCTTGTGCTTGCTCCCTCTCTCTCTCTGTCAAGTAAATAAATAAAACCTTAAAAAAAATTTGCCAGAAGAAATATCAGTCAAATTGGTAAATTCTGTCAGATGGGCTGTGAGATGAGAGAGTGATTCTGAGTACTGCACAGCTCATGCTTTCCCAATGACTTTGGACAGTTTTGGGGTTAAGAAATTAGCATACTTTTTCTACTCAGGCCATGCTCTGGAAAAGAAGGCCCTGATTTCCTGGAATCAGGGCTGGGAAAAGCAGTGCTCCCTCCCCTGATGCCCTTGATACCATTCAGAGCTATGTAACTATGCAAGTCAGTAGCTTACAATGTTTGCCATCACTTGTGAGGGGGCTCTGCCCAGCCTGTGTGAGAACAGAGTATTGACAGAAATGATACAAGGAAGAAATTTTAGAAAGACATGAATTTCCATATTGAAGGGGCCCACTGAGAAGGTATCAAGGGCTAAGAATAGGAAAAACCACACCAAAGCACAGAGAAAAAACAGACCATGTACAATAATCATAATGACTTCAGACTTCTCAAGAGAAATATAGGAAAGTAGTGGACAATGGAGCAATACTTTCATATTCTGAGAAAAATGATCCGTTTTAGAAATCCATACTGAGGAAAACATCAGTCAAGGAGGAAGAAAGACTATTTCAACTATACAAGGTTTAAAATTAACCTCTATTACCTTTTCTCAGAAAACTATTGGAGGATGTGCTCCAACTAAATGAACAAAACAAGCAAGCAAGATGATGACATGAAGTCAGGAAATGGAAAATCTAACCTTGCAGAGAGGTGAGGAAAATTTCCATAGTGACAGTTGAGGGCCACCCCAGAATGACAAGTGGTCCAAACTGTTTGGCTCTCGGGATGAAGAAAGGCCTGGAGTGGGTGGCCTAGGTCAGCCTCCTCTGGGCACTGGGTTCCTTTTCCTAATTTGCTTTGGTCTCTTTTGCTCTCTTCTGCTTTTCTCTGGCGGAAATAGTCTTTTTTCAAAATAGAGGTAGTGATGTTCAATACTCGGGCTTTTGTTTTGGGGGTGAAATAATCATAGTAGGTCTTTAGAGTGCTTTGGCCTCAGGCTATCAGGAAACTCCTGCTTAAGTAAAGGGAATATTCTGTAAGATGCAGTCATACTTGGTAGAATTCTACCCTGAGGTTTGGGGCTAAAGACCTGCAGTGTGCTATATCTTCCTTTCCCTTAGTTTATGCTTGTTCTCTGGGAAACTTGTGAGGGCAGGATTCAGGTGTCACTTTGTCCTTGGCCCAATACCATCTCAATTCACCCTCACATCCCAGTGTCAGTCAACTAAAGTGGTACCAACTCTTTGAAGTGGTATTTAAATGTAGAATCACAGAGACTGAGGGCTTGGGGAGCTTTTAATCCAACCCATTGCCTATGGCTGGTAGCTCTTCATCTATTCATTTTCTAGCCTCCACCTGTTTGCCTTGATTTCTCCTCTTATTTCTAATTTAATTCAATAGTATGTTGTGTACTTGGAATGAATTAGGAATTTGGACTGAATTAGAAGTCTAAATAATAAAGGCAGCCCTTTCCATTGTTAGGTATCTTGGGGGTATTTGAGCCTTCTTCTGTATATTGAGATCACATCCATCTTGTGCTTCCTGCTACTTGGGCATGTCTCATAACCCTGACACAGGACAGCTCATCCAGTTTTTGAAGACACAAATCAAGCTTCTTCTTTTGAGGCCAAACATCTTTTCTCTGGCCCAAGAGTTTTTTTTTTTTTTTTTAAGTTTCCATCTTAGAATATGGTTTCATGTCTCTCCCAAATTCTGATTGCTTTCCTTTCAAACCATTTCTCTCTGCCAACTGGATCAACTTTGATATTGGCAAAATTTGTTTGATACCCTCCTATCTCCATCACACATGGTTTTCTCTGCATATTACTTCATAACTAATTGCCACAAACGTAGCGGCCTAAAACAACATGCATTCATCATCGCATGATGTCTTATAGCTCAGAAGTTTGGGCAAGGCTCACCTGGGTTCTCTATTCGGGGTCTCAAAAGGCTGAAATTGTGATGTTATAGAGTTGACCCTTGAACAACATGGGTCTGAACTGTGTGGATTCACTTACAAGCACAATTTTTTTTTCAACAAATACATTATAGCACTATAAATGCATTTTTTCTTCTTTGTGATTTCTTAACATTTTCTTTTCTCTAGCTTATTGTAAGAATAAAGTATATAATACATATAACACAAAATATGTGTTAATATGCTTATATTATTGGTCAGGCTTCAAGTCAACAGTAGGCTGTTAGTAGTTAAGTTTTTGGGAAGACAAAAGTTATGTGTTGATTTTCCACTGTGTGGAAGTGGTTAGTGCCCCTAATCCCTATGTTGTTCAAGGGTCAAGTGCATATCATAACTTAATCACAGGAGTGAAATCCTTTATATTCACAGCACTGCCTTATGTTCAGGGGCAGAGGATTACACTGGGTGTGGACACCAGGGGACAGGAATATTGGGGATCATCACAGAATTCTGCCTACTACACCCCTAAATCCCAAATATTTACTCTTTGGATCTGTGATGATGTCACCAGCCCCCCTCCCCACATAATTAGTCACCAATTTGGGTTATGAAACTATGTCTCCCCATAGCCCCTTAGTGTGAAAATAAGTTGAAGGCCTAGCTGCAATGCAGCACTGACACTAACTACCTGGAGTTAGTGCATACTCCATAGGTTAAGGACATCATCCTTCCTAAGACTGACCTCACTTCTGACACTAGCCACAGGCTCTGGGGTCCCAGGCCATCTTCATTTCTAACCACTTGGCTACAAATATGGGTATTCCCACTATCCCCCAAAGTTTCGTGATTTGCTAGAAAGACTCACAAAACTCAGGCAAGTGCTATACTTATGATTATAGCTTTATTATAAATTGGGAACAACCAAATGAAGAGACAAATAGGAGGGTCGCAAATGCGAAGCTTCTGTGTCTTCAGGATGCATCACCCTCCTGGTACATTCCTTCTCCAGGAAGCTCACCTAAGCTTCAGTGTCCACAATTTTTTTTTCCCTGATATTTATTTATTTATTTTTATTCTTATGTTAATCCCCATATATTACATCATTAGTTTTAGATGAAGTGTTCCATGATTCATTGTTTGTGCATAACACCCAGTGCTCCATGCAGAATGTGCCCTCCTCAATACCCACCACCAGGCTAACCCATCCTCCCACCCCCCTCCCCTCTAGAACCCTCAGTTTGGTTTTCAGGGTCCATCGTCTCTCATGGTTCGTCTACCCCTCCGATTTCCCCCGCTTCATTCTTCCCCTCCCGCTACCTTCTTCTTCTTCTTCTTTTTTTCTTAACATATATTGCATTATTTGTTACAGAGGTACAGATCTGAGATTCAACAGTCTTGCACAATTCACAGCGCTTACCAGAGCACATACCCTCCCCAGTGTCTATCACCCAGTCACCCCATCCCTCCCACCCCACCCCCCACTCCAGCAACCCTCAGTTTGTTTCCTGCAATTAAGAATTCCTCATATCAGTGAGATCATATGATACATGTCTTTCTCTGTTTG